ACCGTTGACAACGGTGGACCTACAAATGATGGGAAGTAGATACCTCCGCATGGATAGTCAAACAATCATGAAGGTAGGGCGTCTAGCCTCCGCTATGTACCTTTGCAACGGCTCACTCTATCCAGGTCGCAGAAGCCCTCTACACGAAGGGTTTTATCAGTTACCCCCGTACCGAGACGGATCAATTCGATAAAGGGATTGATTTGAAGAAGCTAGTCGAAAAACAGCTACCAGACGGAAATTGGGGTCAATATGCTCGGCAGTACGCATCCCCCTCCCCCCAGATATCCCTTTCCTGCAGTCATTAATATTCCCAGTCTCCTGGACGGCGCATTCAAGACCCCTCGAGCAGGTCGACACAATGACCAAGCCCATCCGCCCATACATCCCATCTGTTGGGTCGCCCCCACCGCCCTCACCGCTGATGAGAAGAAAGTCTACGAGTTCGTCGTCCGGCGCTTCCTGGCCTGCTGCTCCGAAGATGCCAAAGGCCAATCGACCGAAGTCGAGATCCAATATGGCGACGAATTTTTCCACGCCAAGGGCCTCCTTGTCCTCGAACGAAACTACCTGGACGTCTACGTTTACGACAAATGGGAGAGCAGCCAGCAGCTCCCAAACTTCCAAATGGGCGAGCTGTTCGAACCAACTGAAGCCAAGATCTTCGATGGAAAGACCACGCCCCCGAACTACCTGACCGAACCGGAGCTGATTGGTCTGATGGACGCTAATGGAATCGGCACGGATGCCACCATGGCAGAGCACATTGCCAAGATCAAGGAGCGACAATACGTTGCTGTTCACTCGCGCGGAAGCGGTCGGAACGCAGTCAAAGAGCTGATTCCCACTCGGTTGGGCATTGCTTTGGTGGAAGGGTACGATAATGTCTTTGCCGGTATGCCCGATAGCCCTTCCCTGAGCAAGCCGTTCCTCCGTAAGGAGATGGAGCTCCGCATGCGGGAGATCTGCGCTGGCTTGCGGACCCGACAGCAAGTGGTGCAGGAGAGTCTGGATATGTACCGGGAGGTGTTTGTGCATACCCAACGGCGGATCAACAAGCTGAAGGATGCTTGTCGAAAGTACTTGGTCGAACAGGCGGCTTCATAGTTGTCTTGGATGCGGAGTCGCATTTGTAGTAACCGGACATGATACCCTTTGACCCGATAATGTATTGAGATGAATCAGATGCCATAGTACGCACTGTCTGCAGTGGAAACAACCACTCATGGCTTATCGTGCAAAGGAGAGTTCCTCCCGAGTCACTGCAGGTGCCGGGATTCCCCAAGCCATGTATGTCTTCACGACAAACTCCGGCAAATACCCTTTCCGCCTGCCATTCCAGGTCCTGTTCTTTCTGGTTCTCTTCTCTTTTCCCCTCCTCTACTACAACCCATTGGTTATCATCGTTGACATCTCCTCGAAGCTCTGTTAATCATGACTCCGTGTGCTATCGCTCTTCTGTCGCTCCTGACAGCCATTATTGGCGTTCTCTATCCCATTTCTTCTCCTGGGCTCTTACTTTACCGTGGGCCAGAGCGAGCTCCGATTCCAAATTACACCCTTGCCTACCTCGACGACCCCGTCTTCTCGCCTTTGGCTTCTCATCTAGCAAACAATCCATATCCTTGGCGTGATAAGCGGCCATTTCGAGAGGCCAACTCTGCGTTATTGTCCGGGGCCGTTGAGGCTCTCCTCAAAGCTGGGGCTATCGAGGATGACGATGCCCGCGATATACTGGTTACTACGGAAGAAAAGCCAAATGGCTCTAATTTGTCTCTGTCTGCGGAAGCTTCACAGTGGTTCTCGTGTATCGTCAATAACCTGTATCCTTCTAAGCCAGCTACGCGGCGTATTATTCTCGTCGGCTCGTGTATGTTCCTCGCATACACTTTGATTATCACGGGCCAACGATGGCCTGCATTACCCAGTGGCAACATCGAAGAGCATGATTATGAGACCCAGGACCCAGTTATTGATACTATCCGTGCTATGGAGGAGAAGGCAGTGCACAGTGATGCGGCCCTTGCGGATGAAACCTCTACATCCCAGAATTCATCTTTCAGTCATGGTGGAGACCAAGTGAGGGAAAATATATTGAGGCTGCTTGGAGACGTCAAAGAAGAAGTGTCCGGGTTGACAGATCGCATCAAGCTTCTATCATTACGGCTGAACATTCACTCTGAGCTCCTGGAAGGTCAGATTCTTGAAGAAAAACAACGATCAAGTATCGCACTCCCCCCTAAGCGGGACAGCATGATCGGATCGATCTGGGAAGTATTTCAGGAACAGGTCAAAAGTCAGTTCGAAGAGCAGCTGCTCATATTAGACGAAGTCACAGCACAGATACAACAGGCATGTGAAAATCTGCCCGAACCACAAATGTATGAGGCTTTTTGCGATGAATTTCAAAATGAACTCCAACATTCGGTTGAGCGCATCAATAACCTGCGAGAACGCGTGGCCGGTGCGGCACAACCCTATACTTGCTCTCAAAACCCGTTGGCCACTACGGGGGTATCTAAAAGTGCCCACTGGTCGCCAGATGACATGGACGAAGAGCTCAGCTTTGGGAGAGAGGGGGCCCAATCCCGGTTCGATTTCAGGGAGCCCTGTTTATCACCTATAATGGAAGAGGGCCATGACCTAGAGGAGAACGAACCGAGTTCTCCTCTGTAGAACCATACAGCAGACAAGACCTAACCTACCATTTACAATCTCTCTTCCCTATCATACAGTATTAAAGCTTTAGGATGCATTTGTCCTCGAGCCAACTATGGTTATGGGCTTTACAGCTGAATAGCTACTTGGTTTTGGTGGTTATAGCGGCCATCTAATCGACGCTCTCCCGGGCTTTGGCAGTGGCCTGGGTGGTGATATAGATGAAGATCTAGGGGGAGTTATGGCTATTTATGGCTACTCAGTCAATAAATACCGGTTTGTGCGCGTTAATGTGCGTTGTTATGATCCAACGAGATCTGCTTGATTTTCTGCTAATTATGGCTAGATACTGTCGGGACAAGGCCTCCGAGTCGGCGCCAACTTAAGAGTGAAAAGGTCTACTGGCGGCTTCTCGACCACTCACTGATCAGGATTATTGTTCCAAGGGTGAATATAATGGTCTGAATTTGAGGGGTTACACCGATGTTGGTCTCTCAACGTTGTTGGTTGGACTGCCTTGGGTACTAGGAAGGCCTGACGGAATTAGCTTTTCCTTCTGGTGAGTTTATTCTTATATGAGTAAACTGTCATTAATTGCTAACTATTCTGAAGGGACCTCAGATCACTTGGCATGTTGAAATAAACACCATGTGCATATGCTTCTCGAACACTCTGATCAGTGCGGGCTTGATAGTCTGAATTGACCAGTCCGCAGCTGAGCAGCAATGTGCTCTTGTTATTTTTAAGATGTGTCTAGATGCCGACATCAATGAGAGGCTGGTACTGAGAACATCAGGATATTATGGGATTCAAGTCCGCTGTATATAGAGTATGAGATCGGAGGCCATAAACCAGTGGAAGAGGCAAAATATTAGCTTTCCAAACCACCAACCTAGTACACAAATTACTATTCTGTCTCAATATAAACATACTCCACATGTTCTACAATCGTCCTAGGGATCTACATCATTGAAGAAACGCTCTGTTAGAATAGATACTACTACCTATCTCTTAGGAATAACGAAATCCACCCCACACGGATATGGTTCCCACATGGGCCCCACAAGTATACCAGACGATTGAGCTAACTCCACATTCAACAGCAATAGTCACCATAACCACAGTACCAGGCAACCCCATCCCCTACAGCCACGCAATCAATTCGTACCTCACGTCATGATAATCAACCCAGACCCTTTTTCGCCTCTATATATAACATTATGTAATCAAGAATTTCATCAAACTGGGGTTATAGCTCAGTGGTAGAGCGCTCGCTTTGCATTTCTATAGCTAAACTGCGAGAGGTCGAGGGTTCGATCCCCTCTGACTCCATTTTTGCTTTTTGTACCGGTTTTCCCTCCACCTATATGTAATATGTCGGGACCTATCCACCTTGTAGTCGTTCCACTAGCCAAGGGATATATATCTCTTTTGGTCTAGCTGGCAGACACTGACATAATATCTTACCATCTATTAATTAGCTGTTCATCGTCCTCACTGTTTTGCGGGGAAATGTGAAGGGTTGGGGGGGCGGTGGATCTGCCAATATAATATATCAGTTCACACTCGTCTTTATTGTTCTCTATCATCCGGAACTAGTTGGTCCTTTGCCTATCTTCTCTTTCTCATATACATCAACAACCAATCTCCTATGCCTCAGTCGGAAAAAGGCCAAGCCACTGAGTCGGTAGTTCGTTCCCATACATACATACATACATACATACATACATACATACATACATACATACATACATACATACATAACCTACTATTCTACTGAAGTAGTACCAAGTGGCAGATCCCATAGATCCATCTGTAAAAATTCACTTACGGCATACATCTACCGAAGCAAGCTACCTATTATATACTATTTATCATCTACTTCAGCATGTGTTTTATCCAACGGAAGGCAGCAATCTGCAGTCATCCTGAAAAGGGAATAGGGATGATCCAGAAACATCCAGGTTGAATTCTCCTGATTCCGATTCCGAGGTGCATTTTATAGGTAGGTAATTAATCAACTGATTAACTGATTCGGATAATATCCATGATCTGTATGTATGTATGTATGTATGAATCTTTGAATGGTGGGTGAGACTCTGAAGATTCCCTCCCAAGTTAAGAAGGTAAGGCACGGTCTACTCACTCACTCACTCATTCACTTCCTTCCATATAGGCATATCCATCCATTTGTGCAATTTTCTAGCCGGTAGCCCTACACTACCTACATTATTGATATACTTCGCTTGGCCAACTCTAGATGACAGATCAGGGATATCCTTTTATATTATTTTATTCCAAGGATACAAAAATACTAGTTATCATTTTTGTGGGGAAAAAAATGGAGTCAGAGGGGATCGAACCCTCGACCTCTCGCAGTTTAGCTATAGGAATGCAAAGCGAGCGCTCTACCACTGAGCTATAACCCCAGTAGTTGTGTTTTAAGGTTTGTTATTTTTAAACTATGTCTATAATATCTGGTTAAAGTAGTTGTGAAAGTGAAAGTGCATTGCTTGGGAATTTGTGATGTATGTTATAGGAGGGTTTATGTGCTGCGATGTTGGGCCTGTAGGTTAATTACTATTTGAATTATGGGCATCAAGTCATTTGAATTGTGTAGTGTTGTATAGAACGATGTATGATCGGCTAAGGTTGAGCTGTCAGGAAGCAGGGCTCATCTATACATCCTGCACATGCTCGACCACTACACTTCCCTTCCGAGCTGCCGTCTCCACGTATCCCGGATTCTCGGCCTTCAACTGCCGGAACGTCTTCTCGGCATCCCATACCCATGGGCTATCTGATGCGAAGAGTAGATCCATGTCCTCCAAGGTCCGTTGGTTACTTTCCGGGTACAGCGCCCACACCATTGGAATTGTGATGACGTTGCTGGCTGCAAAGACATATAGCGTTTTCTCGCCAATGGCGCTGAACATTACAGGGCACAGCAAGGTCTCATCGATTAGCTTGCATCGAATGTCACAGGGTCAAGAGATCAACTCACCAACCATCCATTCCCGATACTCCAGCCAACAACCCCCCAAGCGTTTCCGCGGGCTCGCACGGCTAGCGGGTATATCTCGGCGGGATAGATCCATGGCACTGCGCACCTACATGTTAATGAGGGTATATGGGCAAAAGAGGGTAGGATGTACCTGTAAGCCATGTGGCTCCGAAGACAGAAGTGAAGATGAATATCATGGCGGCGGCGGCAGCTCCAAATGAACTGGCGCGCGCAGCATCACCCGAATCTCGAGCATCGATTGCCAGTCGGGAGAATCCTCCAGCTAGGAACATGGCAATGCCTTGGCCGACGGCTCCCCAGTATAGGGTCCATCGACGGCCGATACGATCGAGGGTGAAGACACATACGAGTGTAGCAAACTGTGCCATTAGCGGGAGGACGGCTGAAGCTGGGCTGGAGAGAAGGCCAAAGGGAAGGGGATGTGCTCGAGGATTTTTGATGGGGATAGCGTTGAAGACCAAGACGAAGATAACGACCCATTGGCAGGAAACGTCCTCAAGCAATTCTACCTCAGATGCGAGTGATTGAGAACCACCAGAACAGCAAGACATGCAGAACCGGTCCAACGCACGATGATAGACTGTGCACAAAAGGAGATGGTGGGGCCGGAGGTGTTCATGGAGCACGTCAAAGTACTTACCATGTAGAAGACGTTGTTCAGCCCGCTAAGCCACTGGCTCTTCATGGAATCGAACCCAGCGATACTGAAGATAGTCGGCGCATCTGTCCACGTTAGACCGCCCCAGCAGTTGGGTTATGGAGGCCAACATACAAACAGTGACACCCGCAATACCAACCCATTCCTGCATGATCTGCAGCCAAATGACGAGCTGCACGCGCCGCCCAAGATGTAATTTGCCCGTCTTGTAGCCGAAAAGCATGGACAGGTATGAAGTGTTATGGTTTACCGACCGTTCCATCTCTGCAACGCTTTGGATATCCCGAAACTCAGCCTCGGCGCGGACAGCATCGTCACCATTACTCCCTCGAAGACGGCCAAGGATGTAGCGCGCTTCTTGCTCACGGCCTACTTTGACCAGCCAACGTGGCGACTCGGGAAAGAACCAGACCGAAGCGAACAGGAGAAGCAAGAAGATGATCTGGAACGCAATGGGAAAACGCCAGCGGAATGCGGATTTGCCGCCATCGATAAAGGACAGTCCACTGAGCCGATAAGAAAAAGTCCAGCAAAGGGGACGAACACGTACAACTCCAGCCAGTAGGCCACCACGACGCCAATTATATTGAGGGTGAATTCAATCGCAATAAACTTTCCACGGGAGGTGTGTTCAGCTGTCTCCGTAGCCCAGACCGGCACGATAGCGTTCAGAATGCCCGTTCCAATGCCGTTAATAAAACGTGCTGCAGTAGATACATCAGCAAAATGACCCGATAGACGTTCTGGGTTACTCACAGCAGATCATCCAGTTATGGTTCTGTGCTGCACACTGCAAAGAAGCCCCCAAGACGGCCCAGACAGCGCCCGAGGCGATAGTCTTGATTCGGCCAATCTTATCACCAATCCAGCCACCGATCAGCGCGCCGCACAGTGTGCCCAGGTAGTAGACGGACACGATGCCTCCTTGTAGCAGACTGTCCGTGACAACCGGAGTAAGCTCTCCGTCTTCCAGCTTGGTGTAGCCAAAGCCCATAAGATCGATATAATTCTTGGAGTTGTTCACCCCCGACATCATGCCCTGGTCATATCCAAAGAACAGAATCGACAATCCTGCGATACAGTTGATGGCAATGAGAAGGTTGCGCTTCTCTAATTTGTGGACAATATTCCATGATGGTATTAAGTCACTCATGGTGACTATGCTAGGATAGGTGCTTGCAATATAGGGACAGACGTAGATAAGTGGGACGTCTCCTTCGCTTGAGATACTTCGGGCAGAAAGACGGACTAACCACTGGATAGGACCGTACGACAAGAATCCAGGTTAAGATAGTGGGGTGATACGGTGATTAAATAGCTACAGCTGCAAGCGGCACTGCTTCGATTCGCGCCTGACGATCGACCATTTCCAGGACGCAAAGCCACGGCGTAGGGCCGAGGTGCCAGCCCGAACAGTCGAATATGGTTACATCCCGGGTGGGAGGAAATCAAACAGCCACATCAAGGCCTCGGTTCCACCCGCGTCAAGGACATCATTCGAACATGGGACCCGCACGAGAAAGTCTGGGGGGAGGGGTGGGAAATGACCCCAGACCGGGGCGCAGACGAGTCCAAATCGGTTATCCGGCCAGCAACTATCCTACCGAGCTGCAGGCCGAAGGATTGTGGTCCAATGCCCGAAGTCGGGAGAAAGGCAGCCCTCTGCCGTGTTACATGGATGATGCATGGGAAATGATAGAGTCGTTTGACCAAGACAAGCCCGGCTGCTTGAAAGGCAACATCCGGGGCTAGCACCTGGAGAAATCACACATTGTGTGAAGATCCCACTCGGCAGCGAAATTGGCGGGGCACGGAGCACCAGCGATAAGATCGAACGATTGGCAGCCGTGCCTTGGTGTTGGGAGGGGCCCAGGCCGGTCAATCAATAGTCACGAACGGGGCCATGAGAGAGAGAAAGAGAGAGTGGATGGACTGGGTTGTGGGGATTATCCGGGGGATGTTGGTTAGTAGTAGGTTAGGCGGGTGGGGGAACACGGCGCAAAAGAGGGAATCCGGAGAGGCTGCGGCGGACCTCCTCCGACATCCCTCTTCGGGCAATTCCGGCAGGTTGCGTTCCTAACACATAAAAGCGACACGATAATTCCTCACTGGCGCATGTCTTCACTAGGACTGTCTTTTTGTTTTTCTCAGTTCCGTAGGATTCACTCTAAGAAGGAGATTCAAGCTAACGCCAGGAAGTTCCTCTCATGCAGTCCTCGTTTTTCTCCCCATGAGAAGCCTATCTACTATGCTTGTCGCACCAAATTTCTAGCATTCGAGAGCTCTCCGTATGCTGATCAAAGCTCGGTAAACCGATCATACTCTAATGACTTTAGGTTCAGGTAATTTCCAGCGTAGTCATCTGCTTTCAAGGCACGTATGAATGCGTTCGGCTGTGTTTTGAATATGTCAATTCCTTCGCGCATTGAAGAAGCCTTGACTGTAGCGGGTCATTTTTGTACTTGAGCCGTCAGAGTGTGGCCTTGATGTTTATAAGGTCAGCTCCTAACCGAAGAAGACAAGGAGAGCAAGACTTGCAATGACGACCAGAGAATGTGATGTATCAGAATTCATCAGCCTCCTCAGCGATGCTAGGATTAACACCATAGAGAAGCTGGAAGGTACCTTGCTATCTTAGCCAAGATAGCCGTCTGGTGTCAAGTATAGGTGAGCATCCGCCTTAAAAGAGCCGTTGTGGACCATAAAGTTTCCCTGATGGATGATAATGTTAGGGTTGAGCTCCCTTCCAGTATAGAACAGACAGCAAGTGATTAATGCGTGGAACTGGCTGTCTTGACACAGCTGGAGAAGTATCTGACGATTGTTCGTGCTGACATCTATAGCCAACAACCCAAGCGAAAAGTTGGGAAATCTCTTGCACAGATACTCAAGAGCGGACGGGCAGCCCGCAAGGCAGGGGCTTGAGATGTTATGCCCGAGGGCTCGATCATTGTGTGCTGGGCCTGGGGCCTCGCGATTCTGTCGAGAGGAGCGGGCGTGTGAGGCGACTAGATTGAGTTGCTGAATTAGATGGATATGAAAATATACAAAGGACGGGGTGGTAGAGGAGAGACGGAGAGGGTGGATAGTAGGGAAGAGGAAGGGGGAAACGATGAAGGTAGGAGGTTCAGGAAGAAGAAGGAGGTGAGAGTAATAAAAAGCCCAGTTTCAAATCTTCATTCACATATTGTTCTACTTCACTGTTTCGTTCTCCTGGCTTCACCGACAATTTTCTTCGCCTCGTCTTCCTGGATTCCTTCCCCCCCCCCGCTTTGTTTTTTGGATTTCTCTTCCAGCCATCCAGCAAACCTCAATCCCCTTCCCCGCTTCTTCTGATAACCGCCTCTTGCGGTCCATTCATGGACGATGGAAGTGTCTATCTTCCCCTCTCTCTAGAGATTTCAACTAAAGCTCATCATGTAAAGGCCAGGATAGCACATTGAACTCCATGGTTTGGAGGAAAAACGCCTGGTAGTGCTCCAGTTGAGGCAGATGGCAGAGGAGAAAGGAGAAGATAAAATGCGTCTCCTTTCGAGGGAGAGTTGCCGGGGTTATAGTATAGATCAAACGAAAGCATGAAGCGGCAGAAGCCGCGAATGGGAGCCGTTTCTGGCGCCCCGCTAACCATCACCACTAAAACTTGAGGATAATCATAGAAGATCACATTTACTAAATGTCAGTTAATATTGATTACTGACATAGTATAGTATGACTTGCAAGTTACAATCCTCTTTACCAGCCCCTTT